TGATAGTACTCACCTACCTGTATTCACCTTGAAGTAATCACCTAGTTGTACTAAGCTATCTGAATTCACCTATTTGTACTTCTCTAATTGTACTCATCTACTTACAGTTCTCACCCTAGCTGTACTTGTGTAAATGTACTCTCCTACTTGTATTCACCTAGCAGTGCTCATTTTGTACTAACCTACATATACTCCCTCTAGTTGTACTTGAGTAGTTGTATTCACTTAGTTGTGCTCTCCTAGTTACATTCATATAGGTGTACTAACCTAGTTGTACTCACCTAGTTGTGAGTACTCACAACTACTCACCTACTTGTACTCCCTTAGTCACAGTCATATGGTTGTACTCATCTAGTTGTACTTACCCATTTATGCTTATTGTAAAATCTGGTATAATAAAGAAGTTTTTGATGCACCTTAAATTTTTTATTCCAATAAAAATGTTAGATTATATGTTTGCATGTTTCCTTCATACACGTATGAAACAACATTTACAATTTATGTTACTGTGTTTTAAATGAAGTATATATATATATACAATTTATTAATAAATTTTAAAAATTAAAACAGTATTCTTTAATATATAAGTTAGCAAAAAGTTTTATAAAAACAAATTTTAACAAAGTCATATCAAAATAGTAAATAAACAATTAGAAAGTAAATGTTTTTCACACCTTTCATGCAACTTAGAAACAACATTTATAATTAATAATAATGTATGTTACAAAATGACCTAAAAATTTAATAAATGAACATGAAAAATAGTTTTTCATATAACTATGAAACTACATTTACAGTTTATATATTAAATGTACATAAATTTAATATATAAACATGAAAACTATTTTTTTAATATAAAGGAGAAACTAGTGTCAGAAAAGACAAAATTTGCCAAATTTCATAAAGAAATACTTTTACCATTCCTGGGTTAAACGTTGATCATGTGCCTGTTGAACCATACATGCAACTTTTCTTTCCCTTATCCCTATAGAAACGTTAGTGAAGGTTTCAACAGTGTTCAGTGTTTGCTGGGTTTGCTTGCTTGAATATTTTTGCTACCTGGTATGTGTGCTTTAATGTATATGTGTTTGTGTGTTTCGATATGTGTTTAGAGTTTCGTAATATTCATTCAAACAAAATTTGACTGTCCTAAGTAAGCATTACAAAAAATAGAGTAACATTCATAAACCAGCTTTTATTATTTCCTGATTATAACTGTGATTTTGGCGTTGTTGGTGATAGGTATTTAGTCATTATTTTGAACTGCTTCTGATCCATGCGGGACAGGTCGAGCAGACCTTCTTCCAGGGTGCAGAAGTCAAATGTGGTTTGGACCTTGCAACCCAGACGTTGGAGCATTTTCTCGGTGAATGGGCTGGTAACTATTGAAGTAATCATTTGGAATCCATGCTGACTGCCGATGATGACAATCATCTGAAAGTTGATGAAGCAACGGTAAGACTAAATTATAAATTATTAGTTTTTTTAACTTAAAAGTATATTATCAGGCGACTTATATTTTTGTTTACAAGCTAAGAAGACTTCATTTGCATTGTTTATCTTAGGGTTTACCCAAATTAGTTTTCCTTGGATCATAATTCAAAAATAGCTTTTCAACCATGAACCCAACTACTGCTGGGTGAAAGGAGAGATTAAGCAGCACTTAGCGAAAATTCCCCCCCAAAAAATCAGAGTTTAGTTTAAGACAGAAATTTTTCAAAAAGACCGTTTTTAGATAATATGTTCCTAGAAGTTTTGTTAATGAAAATAGACATATCCGCAGTAATTTTTAGTTTTTATATCCATTTACTGTTGTTTCACCGTTTAGGACGGAATGTTAAAGAGACCGAATTTCTTCAGAATTTATTTTAAGTTGAAAACCGAAATAATTTCAGAGACTATGTAAGACCAAAAATTTGTCAGACACCAGCTAAAGACCGAATTTTATCAGAGTTCATTTTAAAACCGAAATTTCTCAAAGGATATTTTTAAATATAATTTATTCAGAGTCCGTTTAAGACCGAAATTGTTCACAACCATTTTAAGACCATGTTAGTGTGAGAAGAGCAGCTGAGAAAGGTATGAAAATGATATAGCTAATAAAGCCAAGACCGAACCAAAGTTACTACACAGTCACATCAGGAGGAAGACAACAGTGAAGGAACAGGTGATGAAACTTAGGACGGGTGAGGACAGGTACACAGAGAATGACAAAGAGGTGTGTGAAGAACTCAACAAAAGGTTCCAGGAGGTCTTTACAATAGAACAGGGAGATGTCACGGCGCTAGAAGAGGTGGCAGCAAACCAGGTAACCTTGGATAGGTTCGAAATTACAAGAGATGAGGTCAAGCAGCACCTATTGGAGCTGGATGTGAGAAAAGCTGTTGGGCCGGATGGAATCTCGCCATGGGTATTGAAAGAGTGTGCAGGAGCTCTTTGCTTTCCACTTTCCATAGTGTATAGTAGGTCACTGGAAACGGGGGACCTACCAGAAATATGGAAGACTGCTAATGTAGTACCAATATACAAAAAGGGTGACAGACAAGAGGCACTGAACTACAGGCCAGTGTCCTTAACTTGTATACCATGCAAGGTGATGGAGAAGATTGTGAGAAAAAACCTAGTAACACATCTGGAGAGAAGAGACTTCGTGACAACCCATCAACATGGGTTCAGGGAGGGTAAATCTTGCCTTACAGGTTTGATAGAATTCTATGATCAGGTGACAAAGATTAAACAAGAAAGAGAAGGGTGGGCGGACTGCATTTTTTTGGACTGTCGGAAAGCCTTTGACACAGTATCCCATAAAAGGTTGATGCATAAGCTGGAGAAACAGGCAGGAGTAACTGGTAGGGCGCTCCAGTGGATAAGGGAGTACCTAAGCAATAGGAAGCAGAGAGTTACAGTGAGGGGTGAGACCTCAGACTGGCGGGAAGTCACCAGTGGAGTCCCACAGGGCTCTGTACTTGGACCTATCCTGTTTCTGATATACGTAAATGATCTCCCAGAGGGTATAGACTCATTTCTCTCAATGTTTGCTGACGACGCCAAAATTATGAGAAGGATTAAGACAGAGGAGGACAGCTGGAGGCTTCAAGAACACCTGGACAAGCTGCAGGAATGGTCGAACAAATGGCTGTTAGAGTTTAACCCAAGCAAATGTAATGTAATGAAGATAGGGGTAGGAAGCAGGAGACCAGATACAAGGTACCATTTGGGAGATGAAATACTTCAAGAGTCAGAGAGAGAGAATGACTTGGGGGTTGATATCACGCCAGACCTGTTCCCTGATGCTCATATCAAGAGGATAACGGTAGCAGCATATGCCAGGTTGGCTAACATAAGAACGGCCTTTAGAAACTTGTGTAAGGAATCTTTCAGAACATTATATACCACATATGTCAGACCAATCCTGGAGTATGCGGCTCCAGCATGGAGTCCATATCTAGTCAAGCATAAGACTAAAATGGAAAAGGTTCAAAGGTTTGCCACCAGACTAGTACCCGAGCTGAGAGGTATGAGCTACGAGGAGAGACTACGGGAATTAAACCTCACTTCGTTGGAAGACAGAAGAGTTAGGGGGGGACATGATCACCACATTCAAGATTCTCAAGGGAATCGACAGGGTAGAAAAAGACAGGCTGTTTAACACAAGGGGCACACGCACTAGGGAACACAGGTGGAAATTGAGTGCCCAAATGAGCCACAGAGATATTAGAAAGAACTTTTTTAGTGTCAGAGTGGTTGACAAATGGAATGCATTAGGAAGTGATGTGGTGGAGGCTGACTCCATACACAGTTTCAAGTGTAGATATGATAGAGCTCAGGAACCTGTACACCTGTTGATTGACAGTTGAGAGGTGGGACCAAAGAGCCAGAGCTCAACCCCCGCAAGCACAACTAGGTGAGTACAACTAGGTGAGTACACACACACACACACACACACACACACACACACACACACACACACACACACACACACACACACACACACACACACACACACACACACGACACACAAGAGAAGAGACAGCAGAAAGACAATACAAAAATGACATCGCAAACAAGGCAAAGACTCAGCCTAAATTGCTGCACAGCCACATCAGGAGAAACACAACAGTAAAGGAACAGGTAATGAAATTAAGGATAGGGGTAGAAGGATTCACTACAAGGGATAAGGAAGTGTGTGAGGAACTGAATAAGAAATTCCAGATCTTCACCTTAGAGCTAGGAGAAATTCCCGAGATAAGAGGGAATAGCTAACCAGGAATCACTGGAAGAGTTTGAGATTACCAGTGGGGAAGTAAGGAAGTTGTTACTAGAGTTGGATGTGACAAAGGCTATAGGCCTAGATGGAATCTCCCCTTGGATACTAAAGGAAGGAGCAGAAGCGCTGTGCTTTGCCACTCTCCATAGTGTATAACAAATCACTGGCAACAGGGGAACTGCCAGAAATTTGGAAAGCAGCTAATGTAGTCTCGATATATAAGAAAAATGACAGACAGGAGGCACTGAACTACAGGCCAGTGTCCTTAACTTGCAAACCATGCAAGCTGATGGAGAAGATTGTGCGAAGAAAGCTAGTGGAACATCTGGAGCGAAATAACTTTGTAACACAGAAACAACATGGGTTCAGAGATAGCAAGTCCTTCCTCACAGGGTTAATTGAATTCTACGATCAGGCAACAAAAATCATGCAAGAGAGGGATGGGCAGACTGCATATTTTTGGAATGCCAGAAAGCCTTTGATACAGTACCATACAAGAGGCCAGTGAAAAAGCTGAAGATGCAGGCTGGAGTGAAAGGGAAGGTACTCCATTGGATAAGGAAGTACCTAAGCAAAAAAAAACAATGAGTCACTATGAGGGGTGATGTCTCAGATTGGCGAGACGTCGCAAGTGGAGTCCCGCAGGAGTCAGTCATTGGACTTATATTATTTCTGATATATGTAAATGATCTCCCAGAGGGTATAGATTCGTTTTTCTCAATGTTTCCTGATGATGCAAAATTTATGAGGAGGATTGAAACAGAGGATGATAGTAGGAGGCTACAAAATGACCTGGACAGATTGAATGAATGGTCCAACAAATGGCTCCTAAAGTTCAATCCGAGTAAATGCAAAGTAATGAAACTAGGCGGCGGAAACAGAAGGCCAGACACAGGATACCGAATGGGAGATGAAATACTTCATAAGACGGGCAGAGAGAAAGATTTAGGGGTTGATATCACACCAAACCTGTCTCTTGAAGCCCAGATAGAAAGAATTACGTGTGCGGCATATGCGAGGCTGGCTAACATCAGAACAGCATTCAGGAACCTGTGTGAGGAATCATTCAGAATTTTGTATACCACATATGTATGACCAATCCTGGAGTATGCGTCCCCAGCATGGCGCCCGTACCCTGTCAAGCACATGACGAAGCTAGAAAGCTGGAAAAAGTTCAGAGGTATGCCACTAGGCTAGTCCCAGAACTAAGAGGCATAAGATACAAAGAAAGGCTGCGTGAGATGCATCTCACGACACTGGAAGACAGAGGAGGAGTAAAGAGAGACATGATCACTACCTACAAAATTCTCAGATGAATTAACAGTGTAGATAAGGATAAACTTTTTAACATGGGTAGTGCACGAACAATTGGACATAGATGGAGACTGAGTACCCAAATGAGCCACAGGGACGTTAGAAAGAACTTTTTCAGTACCAGAGTAGTTAACAGATGGAATGCATAAGGCAGTGATGTGGTGGAGGCTGACTCCATACACAGTTGCATATGCAGATATGATAGAGCTCAGTAGGCCCACGAATCTGTACACTAGTTGAATGACAGTTGTGAGGCGAGACCAAAGAGCCAGAGCTCAACCCCCACAAGCACAACTAGGTTATCTTGAGGTTATCTTGAGAGGATTTCGGGGCTTTTTAGTGTCCCCGCGGCCCGGTCCTCGACCAGGCCTCCACCCCCAGAAAGCAGCCCGTGACAGCTGACTAACACCCAGGTACCTATTTTACTGCTAGGTAACAGGGGCATAGGGTGAAAGAAACTCTGCCCATTGTTTCTCGCCGGCGCCTGGGATCGAACCCAGGACCACAGGATCACAAGTCCCGCGTGCTGTCCGCTCGGCCGACCGGCTCCCCCGGTCGTGAGTACAACTAGGTCACGCACACACACACACACACACACTACCTTTATCTACTTTTAGGGTCTTTATCCCACCAAACACTCACTGAAACTACGACGTTTGTACAACGTTCGAACAAGTTTTAACACCTAACCAGTTATAACAACCAATATAGCAAGTTGTAACAACGTTCTAATACGTCATAAACACGTTAAGCCAAGATGTAACAACATTATTACAAGTTGTAACAAGCGGAAAATAGAGACAGATTCGGTTTGTGTTTCCAGGGATAGGGTAGGGTCGATAGGGTAGGTTAG